AAGGTGAATATCACCCTTACTGTGTTGAGTCTCAAACTGTCATTCATAGATGGATGCTTAACGTGTGGCTGCAATTTCATGGCACCTTAGTGCAAAGATCTTGCTTTGTGCTCAGGAAGACCACCCTGGCGTTGTGCGTGCAAACACGAAGATGGATGCATGCTTCCAGTGGCACAATTATCACGCAAAAAGTGAATTGATTTATGACCGCTGTTCATACCAAATAGCAGACAAGAGCTCAAGACCGCTTAGGTATGGTGAACAGCATATTGACTATACTGTGTGATCGTGGATAAAGTTAGTTATGGCGCAAGCACTGAAGACTGGTAGCTCAGGTTGTTCAGCTGGTGGTTGAACTGTTCGCTGAGCTTGGCAATTTTGTTGAAAGTTTTGTCAATACTCATGGTGACATCATCAGTGCGTAGTTGGGTGACCTGCAGTAGCGTAGAGTAGCGTAGTTTAGCCTTGATGAGTGCGCTGAACGTGGTGTGTGTGCCTTCTTATACCGCAGTAGTTGGTCCTGAAGCCGAGCAATCTAATTGGTTGGGTCTTCTATCAGCTTTCAGGTTGGTTGATAGGCAGATGACCTTCCCATCCTCCCATCCTTGTGTTTCGTGGTCTTTGTCTGCTTCCTCTCGCGAGCGAGTCTGCCGTCAGTTCTGGTTGTCTAGTCACACGTTCCACCGGATTCAATCCATCGAGTTGGCGGTCGTCCATCAGTAGTATGGCGTATACTGCGTCCAGTTCGATGTGTCGATTGACTGAATGGGTTGTAGAGTAGCAGGCTTCCAAAAACGCCCTCGCGTATTTTGAGCTTCCATATGCTAAGATCTTTACATTCTCCAGATCGAAATGGTGGCCTTTTTGTTTTGCAGCGCGGAAACTAATGAGTGCGAATCATGCATTCTGACCCCCGCCTTGTGTCCGGTGATTCTTATGCAAAGCTTTCTTCCGAAGTAGCTTTTAACGCAGTAGCTGCATTTGATCTGGTAGATGACATTGCATTGGTCGGCTTTATTGATTTTTTCTGTGGGTCTTTTGACCAATTTCCCTAGGTGGCACGGCTTGTGTGCCACATAGATTATTTATGATTGCAGCAATCGTCCTATTAGTTCGGAGCCTTTCTTGATGTAGGGCAACACTATCCGTTTGTTTGCTTGATCAGATGAATGCTGCTGCTGTCGCTGAGGCATTCGTTTATTTAAGCTTCTGTTAATGAAACTTCTCGGATAACCGTTGTTTCCAAACACTCGATATAGGTAACTTACTTCCTGTTTCTGCGTTTCGGCTGTGCTGCAGTGCGTTTCCGCTCTTTTGAACGGAGCTTGAATGTAACTGGTCTTGTGATTCATGGACTGATTGCTGTGGTAGTTTATTATCTGGTCTGTAAAGGTTTTCTTCTGATATACACACGTTTCCATAGATCCGTCTGTATTCCTAGTGACCAGTACATGAAAAAGTGGTAACTTGTTATCCACCTCTAATTCAATCGTGAAGGTGACATTCTCCAATGTGCAGTTGGGCAAATCGTGCGTGGCGTACACTCTGTTCTGTTTTTTTCCTGTCATACACCCCATATCCAGTATAACTCTAAAGGAATAAGACCGCGCGGCTTGCGGATGGGAGCCGTGTTTCATCAACGTATCCGGCCTATACTCAAGTTCGCTGTATGTAGAGAATGAAGCTGGCTGGTGACTGGACCTTAGTCCACTCCACTTTGAGTGAATGGAAGCACTCTTCGAGCCCAACACGACCTTGAGGACGGTGCACCCCGTCCCCGCCCATCAACGATCTATAGTCTCCTGGATCAAGTAATCATGGTGGAGAGGGTTAGATGGGTAGTTACTTTGTCAAAATGCACATCAAACGCAGCCAGACCGGGAATGTCACTTGAATTAACATTACCAAAAAGATGTATCGAAGAAAGCATAGAGATATGCCGACATAAATATTCTCGAAATAAAAATCGGTAATAAATGGGCTGTCAACAAACGCGCGATAATTTCAACATGGTAACTGATATACATACATATATATATATATATATTCAAGCTGCCGTATCTGTATGCAGCATTGGATCTATTTTATTTCATCTTGTCGTTTCAAGTGATTGGCTTTTGCTTGTTATCCCCGTGTGACTGCGCTTGATGTGCATGTTGACAAGGTGCCTACCTGTCTATTACCCATCACTTCGTCCATAATGGCTACAGGAGGCAGTTGGTCGTTGCTGTAGGAGACGGTGTTCACGGTCCTTGTGGCCGTGGTAGACTTGAACTGCGGTTCCATACACTCAGTGTGGAGCGGACTACGGTCCAACCACCGACTTGCGTGCGCTTGATTCCCAAATAGAGTGTGCTTGTATTTGTAGTGAAGGAGTGTGAGCCGGCTCCGTTGAGGAAACGTTGCTCCCATCCACATGCCTCCCGGTCTTATTCCTTCGGGTTTACACTGGATATGGTGTTTGCGATTGGAGCTGTGGGTGGTGCATCGCAAGCCACCCAAGGTCCCCCTGTAGGCGAAGGCGTCATGTGGCTGACCACAGTGACATGCAAATCCGAAACCGGATGCCGCCAACCATATTTATTTAAAAAATGGCACAAACGCGAACATGTTAACGTAGTTAACCGCAATAAGCAAAAGCGACGTGTGCAAGTTAATAGAAGACTATTCAGGTAGAGGCATGCATATACGTATACCACCAGTCACTCGGTTTCACCACTATATCGACGTCAGGAAGACGTAAGACAAAGTACTTTGTTGCTATGCACAAAGTGCTTCACCACTTGTGTACACATCATCAACTGTTCTCCGTCTGCAGACGAGAACATCTAATTTTCAATTCGAAATTTTTGTTTATTATTGGACGTGGACGGTCGAGGTGACGCGGAGGCCAAAAGCGTTGGCGACCAATGACATGTGGTCCACAATGCCGTCTGTCACACACACACACACACCACACTTACGCGACCGAGTTTAATATTCACAGCCAATGCTTCCTAGCACATATACGGTATTCAACCTTTCAATATGCCTGCAGTGTACTATAAATACCCCATATTCATCCTTGTAAGAAGTACGCGCTTATTATCGGAGACCCATGACTGCTTCTAACAGCACGCTGACGAACCTCAAGTAAGTTTTGTACTTGCGTACATGATACCGTAAAGTGGAAAAGGACTATCAGCAATTGTCACGGGTGGGACGTCGGGATTAGGACTTGCTACCACTAGACGGTAATCATCAACACACGGATAATACACTTTAATTGCAGACTGCTGGATTCTGGATGCAACGTCATGGTTTGTGACATAAAGAAGCATAAAGACTTTGAAGCGATCGAGGCGCGTTGTGTATACCAAAACACCGATGTATTGTGCTTGTAGTACTGATGGTGATACTCTAGGTGACCTCCGAAACAGATGCTGCCAAATCCATCGGTCTCGCTAAGCAACTCTTTTCCAGGTTGGATATTCTTGTCAACTGTGCCGGTGTAGGGTATTTATGCAAAACGTACGATGCAGAGAAGAAGTCAACGCATCCACTCGACACTTTCGAACAAATCATCAAAGTGAGCTGACCTATTAGTACTTTTGACTGCTCAAACCCAGTGGTGTTCTTGTGATAACTGGTGCATGAACTAATTTAACCACCAAACCATCTGCTTTAGTCATATCGTGGAAAGCAGGTAAAAGTGTACCTCTGCGTCACCATCATGATGGATTAGACATTGGTCTATGCTGTCAGCGTTCTAGCGCCATGAAATCGTCGATCTGTTGGACCGTTCTCTAACGTCTGGTTCACGCATTGCAGCCCAACCAAGTTACTACAACCATGTCAAACGCATGCGGTGCCTCACAAATCAGGTTGACTAATACGGGGCGGCCAAATCGTATATAAATGAGTGGCCCACCAGCTGAAATATTTATCAAACCGGACCGCATCGGCTGATAACCCATGCGAATACTCATTGCTTTGTTCACAGCTGCTCAGTGTACAACGCTTTATCGATGGCACCATAAGGATATCTCAGCTTTAGATAAGATGCAACTGAGTGATCTTAATTCTCCCTATGAGTGTATTATTCGTTTTTGGTGCTTTAGTAATATCTAACTTATTAGCCGTTCTCACTCTTTTGATGTGCCATTTTCAATGGAATATTCGTGAGTCGGATAGAATTGTCTGAACTGTAACAAATTATAGCAGGTTTTCGTGCGCTTAACGTGTTTATTTTGGTGAGTCAGATAAAATGAGCGATGTGAACGTTTTTCTACTAGTTAGCCCAGATTGTGTGCATCGCCTACAGACAATTACCCGATAACTATTACAATGAGCACTGTAACCTTTTCTGTCTACATCAGAGTCTTGTATTTTTATCTAAATTCTAGTAATGGAGTAACGGTTAAGTTGGCGTGCAGTATAACAACATGATATATAATGATATGAAAAAAATATATTAATATTGATAACGATGAAAATAACCCTCATGTGTATCATGATGCGAGCAACTGTCTGTAGCGGCGCAGACCAATTTTATCAAATGTCACATGCTCTTGCACTCGTGGTATGCAAAGGTAGTATATTGCTCTATGCGTTTTAAATGATAACTTTCTGGTAGTGGTTGAGGCGAAAGCGCAGTTTTTAAAGCATTCATGGTTAGATGAATGTGACCCCCTCTAGGAAAAGCTCATCGAGGGAGTTTCGTATGCGATTATGGTGACAACGGTATTTAGATGCCTCATTGTCACATGACCTGAGTGTTATTGTTAGTTTATTCCACAGATAGCTATATTTGACCAGGAAGAAATTAGAGCGCACGTTCCTTATAGCCTTGGGTATATTTAGCGTGTAACCTTTGTTGCTAAGCACTCGAGTTGAGCAATGTTGTAATTCGACTGCAGGCACATCGGAATAGGTCTTTTTGTGCAGCATGTTGGGAAACAGCGGCAAGTTATGCTTCAATCGTGGAATGCAAAGTGGTTCAAATTGTAGCTCATTGCGGCGTTCTTGATAAATCATAGCACAGTGCTTACCAATCAGATGTTTAGTAAATGACCTCTGCAGGCGCTCCACAGCAATTGTCACTCTTTCTTCTATTGCCGTATATTATGCTGCAGTACAATAAACAATAAACAATGATTTATCACGGGATAAAGGCAGTTGTTTGACACGTCTCGTAGGATGGTTGGGTGAATATGATGAAATCAAAATATTTCAGGGTCATCTACCGAACGTCTGCCGAGATGAAGAATTTGATAAATTAAATCAATGTAAAATTTTTTCAAAAATCGTGCGTAAAGGTTCAGAAATACACTGGAGTGCAGTGATCGTTGATATAAGGTGTGAAAAAGTAACATATGGTCGCTCACTTGGGTCCATTTGATACATAAATCCTGTAGAAAAGCATGCTTGGTGTAATCCACAATAGGGGAGTCTAGGTAACAAAATGCTGGGAGCTAAGATCAACATTTAATCCTTTTTTGAAAATGGCCGAAGTATGGGAGGATACAACTAAATCTGGATGTGCTTTTCAGGGTTGGCAAACCCGAAGGGAAACTAATTACGTCGACACTCTAGACGGTTATATTGTTCCCTCAATTGTAAGCAGTCACCCTTGGGCTACGCGTTTTGGCTAGGTTTCAAGAACTGGCCGCAAACTTCGTTGAGTACACCCAATATTTGGTACACCAATAGGAGATCGCCGCGCAGCCTTCGGTAGCGTCCGCTGAAAATTCCCAGCAACTTCAGCCTTCGGTGGTAAAAGTGGAAGCGCAGGCCCTCTACATTCTTTGTTGCTCTTTGTTGTGGTACCTCTAGTGCCTCTAGGTCGCGCTTCAATCAAGGATGTCAGGTCTGGATAGCGTATTCCAAGTTTGAGCGAACGTCCGAGTTGTGCGTTATCCACAAGATTAATGGGTCAAATCTCCCGAACGCTCTTCGCAACATACCGACGTGCTCATTGCCTCTTTTTGCAGCTACCTGTCTGTTTTGAATAGTTGAGGTCACTCTGTACAAGCACGCGAAGGTCACGTTCCTGGAAGCTGGTCTGCAATCCGTGTGCCCCAAGCAAATACGTGTAGTCATGTCTATGGCGTAATTGCACAACGCGACATTTATCTACTTTGGATGTTAGAGCGTTTTGAACTGACCAGTCTGACACCATTTTAAGATCACACTGGAGCCGTTCGTGGTCGTCCGGTCCTCTGATACTTCGCCACATCTTGATCTCATCAGCGAGAAATGGGAAATCGGGAGCAATTGATCTCGCCAAATCGTTAATGAATACCAAGAATAGACGAAGTCCAAGGGTCGAGCATTTTGATGCACTACACACCACATCGATTGCATCGGACAGAGTTCCCCGGTCTCTCACTTTCACCAGAACTTCGTGTAGAAATTTGCTTATCCAACTCAGGATTGGGTCACCAATACCGTAGTTCCGAAGCTGCTGTAGGAGAGTTCGATGGTTTAAGCTATCAAACGCTTTTAAGAAATCCAGGTAGATGACATCGGCTCCTAATATATCATCAACAGATGCAGTCCAGCTATTCCGTGCAATTATTAGGTTAGTATTACATGTAAGATTTTGATGAAAAGCATATTGCTCTGGAGGTATTAAGTAGTGGCTTTCCAGATACTGTATCAACGCATCTGCGATGATTGCTTCCATAGATTTGGATAGCACGGCAAGTAGCGTTATTGAACGGTATTTAGTGGGGTCATTGCGTCTATCTTTCTTATGGATATGAGTGATTAGCCCTTGCTTCCATACTGGTGGAATATGGTTCTCTTCTAGACATCGCTGATGGAAAGCAGCCGGTGGTTCTGCTAGATCACTAGCTACCGCCTGCAGAGCCTTTGGTAGGATGTTGTCGACTGAAGGAGAACTGTGGATACGCAAGGATAACAACTTATTCAACACGGATACTGCAGTGAAGTTTCTGTTGTCTAAACCCGAAGGTGGAGTTATAAAAACCATGAGAATATTTGGACTCGTTACCAGCTGGAAAGTTTGGGAGTAATGAAGCCGTAAGAGTTCAGCTACTTTCAATGCTGACCGCTTGCATCCATCAGCCGTAACTAGTTCTGGAATTCCCCGCTTCAAATTTCGAACGCCGTTAACGTGCCTGTATAAAAGTTTACGCTTCGTGCTGAAACGTTTCATTAACTCCTGCTGACGCGTGACCTTGTCATCGTGGATCAATCTGACACAGTACTTACCATGTGTCATGTATGCAGTCCGGTTTTCGTCATTCGGGCAGACCTCGTTAGCTCCCCATGCCAAATCCCTCAGGGACATACATTTACGTGTTTTGCTCTTTTAATTTTACGTCGGAAAAGGTTCTGTTTTCATGCGTGCGCTACCAGTGTGCTAAACGTCCTTGTGAACTTGTCCCAGGTAACATCTGGTGGGCATTCGCATAATAAATTCCAAGATTCTTCTTAAAAATCGTGGATAAAACATTGTACTGCTTGACAGTATACACTTGATCATCCTCGTTATTTGGATATTCCGCATAGCATGTATAGTCAAAGAATATAGTTTTATGGTCACTGCGACCCAGTGGCATGCTTGTAACTATCCTGTCGACCACGCGTTCTTTGTTATTAAGTATAAGATCCAGTGTCAACTGCTTGTTAGCCGTTCGAAATCTGGTGGGAGTGGTTATGTGGTTTTACAGAGGGTGGCTAGCAATTAGCTCTTGCAAGCAGGCTTCAAACTGCGCACCATCGGTTGCTGACGTTTCTACGTCGTGCACATTAATGTCTCCATAGATATGAATGTGGAGTGATTAGTTTGTAAAACTCAACTTTAACATGAGTTGTATGGATTTTGTTTGATATATTGTACATCGATGGTCTGGCACGTGCTATTTTCTATTGGGCCTGTTAGGTAAAAATGAAGTTAGACGAGCTCCTAATCGCAAGATCTCGCATGGATCGCAGTGTAGCGACTCGTGGATTGTTTAGGGTGATAGATTCTTCTGGGATGCAGCAGCCGTAATTCATGATACTTGATTTCTTAGCCGAGAGATTCATCACCCATGTGCAGCACCATGACTCAAGGGAATGTAAGTCATCTTGAATGAGCAGTAGCGTCCCGTGAAGCTCGTCACGCCGAAGCTTATATACGATTTTGATATCGTCAGCAATTAAAACTGTCATACCTTGTTTTACAAATGTGGTGATGTCATTGATCTAGAGCAATAAGAGGGAAGGGCCGGGTACGCTCCCTTGAATACCCCACTGGTGGTGGAGCGTAGGGAAGAGCGATAGTCCCCTATCGTGAGTACCTGATGACGACCACTCAGGTATGTTGATAGCCAACCTAGTGGTCGGTCCCGGATCCCAAATTTCTCCACGTTTTGTAGCAGTCGCTTTTAAGGTACTCGGTGGAATGACTGTGTATATCAAGAAACAGGAGAAATACTGCATAGCCGGAATCGATCGATTCTGAAATGTTCAGGTAATGCAGTTGAGAGGTGGTGCACGATCGCTCGTTAATAAAACCATGGTGCGAATTATTGATTAGGCCAATAGAATCGACAACGTTCATCAACCCCTTTCTGA